CGCCGGCCGGCTCTCGGGCCACCCGCATCCGGACCGCGCTCCCACAGGTCCTCAGCACCTGGGCCACCTGCTCGCTGGTCATGCCTTGCACGTTGGTGTCACCAATCGTCAGGATGTGGTCCCCGGTCTGCAGCCGTCCATCCTTCAACCAAGGGAACAGAGCTTCCTCAGGGCCGAGGCTCACTTCCCGTCCACCAGCTCGTCACTGCCAGGGCTGAGACCAGGGCCCCGGGGAAGCTGAGAAGGCGCGAGGCGGAGACGGTCGCGGTGAGTCAGGGCGAGACCTGGCTAGGGTGGGCACCGAGTGCTCGACTCCTGCCTGGTGGGCTGAGCGTCAACGGCCTGCGACCCCGGGCAGGAGCCTGGACTCGGGAGGGGAGGGCAGAGGCTTGGGTAACGCCGCACGGCCACCAAGGGTAGGAGCCGGGGAGCGGGCGGCAGGATGACAGGACGCGCAGGGCAGGGCTGAGGGCAACAGCGGGGAGGAGTCGGCCCAGCCAGGCGCCAGCCACACTTGGGGAGAATCCAGAAAGGGGTGACAGCACGAGGACCAGGGCGGCAGATGGGACAGGAGGCGGACTCCACACGTGTCTTCAGAGGTGTCAACAGGGTCTGCTGACAGCTTCTGTCTGGGTGTGGAAAGGGGGCCCAGGATATACCCGAGTAACTGGCAAAGATAATGAAGACAGGGGAGGCTGAGGCAGGCCGCCTGCTGAGCATGAGGCCAGCCTGAACTACTAGGGAGACCTCCGTCTCCAGACACAGAAGACAGGGCTGGGGACCGGGCTGCTCAACGCTGGCTCACGGCAGGGGTGCGACCCTCGCTCTGGGCTCAGAGGGTGGACGCGCTCCCGTCCCAGGCCAGCGAGGAGGGCAGGGTGGGCACGGGCTATCGTGCTGCCTCAGCTGCGCGGGACGCGGTGTCTGCCCTTAAACGCACACGTCCCTCCAACGTAAGGGTACGACATCATTCTTCCCAATGTGTCTGTCCCGAGCATCGGTCGTTTCTGCTTCCTTTGGTGGAATTTTTGAAACAGTTGAACCTTCTGCATTTTTATGAAGTTTATCCCATCAGAAATTTTGACTTCTCTTTAATTCATTACAGCATCCTGAAGATGTCAAAATGTCAACGTAGCTGGTTTTCAAAAAGTCACACCTGTGCGACCTGACAGGCGAAAAGCCACTTCCCTGCACCACCCTGCGCAGAGAAGACAGCTTTGGAAGGCCCCGTCCGCGCCCCGCTCTGGCATGGCCTCCTGCCGGGGCGCCCCGGGCGGCAGCAACGGAACAGGCCGCTCTCCCACACCAGGGCGGGCACCAACCCACCCGGTTCCCGCACACGAGACGTGGCCTGCAGCTGTAGAAAAGTCTGAACAAAATGAAGATGAAGAGCAGACACAGTACTTTGTGGGGCAGAGGGTGCAGCTCAGTGCCTGCAGGCAGGGGGCCCTGGGTTCGAGCCCCAGCACAAAGGCAAGGAGGAGGAAGACAACAGGGAAGAAGGAAAGGAAGGGGAGAGGGGAGAAAGGAAGGGGAAAGCAGACACCTTGCAACTGGGAGAGGACAGCTTGAGAAGGAAGCCGGGCCCGGAACGGCCGAGCTAATCTGGGCCCACACTGCTAACGCCTGTCCTGCCTGGCGCCCTGCCCCATGGGGTCCGTAAACTACAGGTGGAAAATGTTTTTCCTGGACCAGGGATCGAACTCAGAACCTTGTGCTTGCCAGGCAGGCACGGCCCCATGGAGCCACGTCCCCTGCCCCCGGTGAGGCTCTGAGGAGGAGGATTAAGGCTGGAAGTGCCCACTCTGAGGCCCGGGCCAGGCTGCACGCTGTGCCCTGCTGTGGGTGCTGCAGGAGCGCTGGGCCCTCGCTGCCCACCAGGAGGAGGCGCGGATTCACTGTACCCCAACTGGAGGGGAGGGAGCTGGGGCGGGAGAGGGTTCTGCTCTCACTGGGAACGAGGACGCGCTGCGGAGGTCCATGCTGGACACCAGCCGGGTCGGCAGACAGCCCACAGGTACATCTGTGCCGGGCACCTGGCCTGCGGCTGGCACGAGGGCTCAGCGGCTCCATTTTCTTCTGATTTTACCTCAACCCTTGATTTGAAGTGGCGCGGATAATTTGCATCTGTCACTGAAAGTTGAGCATCTCCTCTGGCAGGAGAGCAGGTGTTCTGAGGCCTTCGTGAGTGCAAAAATAGTCATGAGATTGACGGAAAGAAGCCGCGGTGACAGCTCACTCTGTCCAGCCGGTTCCTGGTCCACAACCACTTCCTAACCCAGCTGGGAAACCTGCAGGGCTTCAGGTGGTGGGCCGGGGAGAGTGGAAACAGCTATGCAAGTTAGCAGCATTTGGGCTGAAATGTTACTTTGTATTTTAAGTTCTGTGACACATTGTGAATGATACTTTCAATTGAAAAACAAATGTTTGCGCTGGGCTCAGTGGTACAAGCCTGTGGTCCTACCACTTGGAAGGCTGAGGCAGGAAGATCCTTTCAGCCCCGGAATTTGAGGCCAGCCTGGACAATATAGTAAGATCCTATCTCAAAAAATATTTTAAGGATTTTCTTGAAACCTACAGTGAATCAGGGCTGAACTACAAAAAGAAATAAAGAAATCTTTATTTTTTCTTCTTCAAAAAATGAAAAAAAAAGTACAAATACTTCCATAAGTCAGCCTTGCTCTGGGCCCATAACTTTATATCCCTGTTTGTAACTTTTATCTTGTGCCATTAAATGTTAAAAGTGTTGAACTTTCTTTTCATTTACACAGAGGCTTGCTGCTGAGAGTTTGCCTTAAACCTCAGAGGAGACTTGGACTTGGACTTGGGCGTGAATGCTGTCTGCCCAAAGCCGTCCACACGGGGTAAAAGGGCAGGGAGAGGCTGCTGAGGTCCCTGCTGCTGTCTTACAGCCAGCCAGCTATAGGCTGAAACCTCTACAAACTGAGCTGAGTGGTTGTGCGCTAAATAAGCCTTTTCCCCTTTAACTTCGGGGGCCATGTATTTTGTCTGAACAAGGAGAGAAAAATAACTAAGACAATTAGTGAGAAGGCTGCTGCTTTCTTCTATTCATGCCAATGTCTTCAGCATCTGGCTTCAAAGAACACTGCTGGGTTTTCCTCTCCGGGCCAGCGTTCACCCAGTTGCAGGATGCCGCCGTCACAGAGCAGGGAGAAATCTGGCTTCGACCGGAAGCAGAGGCTCCGATGTCCCTGCAGTCACTCCTGGCGCCCTGCCCATGCCTGAGAAGCCGAGCTCAGCAGTGACGGGGAAACCGAAACCTCATCATAACCCTTCAGACACTGCGTGGACCTTTGATCTGTCAGCCACAAGTCACCTTGTCACAGCACACACTGGCATTCAGGGGACACCAACTCAGACCTTCTGCATATGGACATTTTTCCTATATCATAAAAAATCAATTGGTGAGCCGGGGATTTAGCTCAGTGGTTCCACCGCCTGCCTTACAAGTGCAAGGTTCTGAGATGCCCGGTACAAAAAAAAAAAAAAATGGTGACTCTCAATGAAAAATCTCCAAATATTGGGAAGTTTGGGCTTATGGTAAATACAATTTTCTTAATTCTAATTTTTTAAAAGCTTTAAATTTATCATTGCCAACTAACATTATCATAGTTTTCCTGGGCAGAACAGGCTCATTTTACTCATTTTTGAAGGAATTGCCTTTCAATACTTCACAACATAATTTTTCTAACAGTTATTATTTCAAAAATAAAAACGCTAGCTGGGCGTGGTGGTGCACAACTGTAATCCCAGCACTTGGGAGGCTGAGGCAGGAGGATCGCTCTGAGTTCAAGACCACCCTGGGCTACACAGTGAGTTCCAGGTCAGCCTCAACTACATAGTGAGACCCTGTCTCAAAAAACCAAAAATAAATAAATTAATAATAATAATAAAAACTCTGCTCTGTATTAAAAAAAGGAAACAAATAAAAGATCTAGCTCAACTCACAAAGGTTCTTTCTCAAGACAGTCACCGCGCTTCAGTCCACAGCAAGAGAGCTTTTCAGTGCCTTCCCTTTGGCCACTATCATGGCCTGTCTGGTACCTAGATGTCCCCCAAAGCCTCAAGCACTCACTGGTAGTGCTTTTGGAGGTGACTGCATCACAGGTGTGATAACTGGATTAGTAGTTCTGATTAGCATCGTTCTGAGTGTGGAGACTAAGAAGGCCCACCCTGGGCGTGGGTGGCACCAACCAATAGGCTTGTAGCCTGGATCAATAAAAAGGGAAAGGGAGGCTTGCTGCTTCCTGTCTTCTGCCTACCCTGGCATGGACTGTTCCTCCTCTGTGATGACCCCTGCCATGCTGTCCTGCCCTGCAGCCAGCTAACTATGAACTGAAGCCTCTACAACCGTGATCTGAAATAAGCCTTTCCTCCCTGAACTTGTGGGTATCAGGTATTTTGTCCCAGCAATGAGGATGTAACTAAAACAAATCACACAATATTAGAGACACACTGAAGGTCCACGTTCACTGACTTTTACTAGGCTTCTCAGAGCCGTAAACGAATTCGGTGTTTCTTTTCTACCATGGGGAGCACGTGTGGGGACAGAACACAGAGACCAAACACACTTCAGTGTCATGGCTGTGTTTTGCACTAAGACACTGGCAGCGTCTACCTCTCCGTGTCACCAGCACTAGTGCGGGGGTGGCAGGGACGGAGACGTCACTGTGTCACTGCTGTAAAATCATTTGCTCTCAGACACCCAGAGCCTACAGCCCAAGCTTGAGAACTGCTGCTGGCACACACTGGGCGCGCTGAAGGGCAATGGGAATGTGAGCAGCACCACCCCTCGGACAGGGGCACAGCTGGTGTGGCCTGGTACGCATGCCTGGCATCCCGGCAGTCCAGGAGGCTGATGCAGGAGGATCACAACTTTGAGCCCAGCCTGTATGACAGTGACTTAGCAAGACCCTGTCTCAAAATAAAAATTTAAAAGGGCTGTCATTGGCCAGGCGTGGTGGCGCACGCCTGTAATCCCAGCACTCGGGAGGCTGAGGCAGGTGGATCACTGTGAGCTCGAGACCAGCCTGGGTTACAAGTGAGTTCTAGATCAGTCCCAACTACATGGTGAGACCCTGTCTCAAAAAACAAACAAACAAAAAAAAAGGGCTGTCATGTAGCTCACTGGAAAGCCCTGGGTTAAATCCCCAGTACCGCCAAAATAGTTGGATCAATGTTGATCAGAAAGGAGGAGGGAGGAACAAAGAACAGGCCCCAGGCTGTGGTGGGTACTCTGGGAGGCCGAGGCAGGAGGATCATGAGTTTGAGGACAGCCTGGGCTGCAAAGTGAGACTGGACTCAAAAGACAAAAAACAAAACAAAAACAAAAAAAAAAACCATAACAATGACTACAATAAAAGGTAACACTTGATTTATAGTACCAGGGAATTTAATTCAAGGAAAATATTTATAATCACTGTACCTTCTAATTTTATAATTTAAGCCCTTGAAAGATAAACTGGAGGGGAACAATGTGGGTGTTTGACATTCCTTAACACTTACAAGAATATTCATTAACAGTTCTTTTCAATAAAAAAGTGGGGCTTCTCTGCTGGAACCAGGAAGCCAGTCTGTATAGGCCAAACCAACACGAATCCAAAAGGAAAGTGATTTAGGAACTGTGCAAAGTGAAGCAGAGTGGAACCGACCCTTGTGGAATAGAACGCTTTTGTTGGTTTGTTTTTTGAGGCAGGGTCTTACTACACGGCCACGGCTGGCTCCAACACGGGGTGACCCTCCTGCCTCAGCCTCCGAATCGCTGGGTTTACAGGCACCGTCACACGCGGGGCTTACTTTTAAGCTATAATTAAGTTCTAGTCATAAAGTTACATATCCTGGTAATTCGTTTTATAAAACTGCATTTCAAGTCATAAAGTTTATTCTGTAAAAGTTCACTCACCCGGTCTGCCAGCCCCCCGGGCACGATTGTCCTCACCACCACGCCGCTCGACTTCCCCCCGACGATCCCGAACCCCAGTCCAGAGCCGTCATTGATGAGCTCCACCTCCTCCATGCGGCCCCAGCAGGCCTGCGGACGACAGCCAGTGAGAGCAGGCATCAGACGCACCTGGGCTTTGGGCCAAGCACATGCAGGTCACCGCCAAGCTGTTCACTGTGGTGACCCGGAGTCTGAGAGGCACACAGAGACACGTGCATACACAGTCACACGCACACAGACACAGACACACGCTCACACACAGAGGTAAGCGCACAGGAACACCCATGCACACACAGACACACACGCACACACATGGAAACAGACACCCCATGCTTAGGGATCATGTGATCCAGGAGAGAACTTGAAACAACCAAACTGGTAGAGAAAACGTCTGTGAATACCCAAGACCTACAAAACGTTAGAAAAACGCAGGACGACCTCTGCTCTGCCAGCTGAAATCTGCTTTGTTTAGTTCGAAACTAACAGACACCGGAGGCACTGACTGCAGGGCGGGACATCCGGCCCCATCCTGAGGTAGCGGCCTATCGAGGCCCCCGCCCCAAAGTTTTGTAAGCCTCATGGCTGCAAAGGCCAAGATGAAAAGAACCACTGTTCACGTTGCTTGGCTGACTGGGACACCCCCTCCCCCTGGGCTGGGATAGAGAGCTGGATGAATCTTAGAGGTGAACTCCTAACTACACAGAACTGCTACCGCCGGGTTAAAGTTACGGTCTTGTGACCGTGATTTGTACATCCGCAATGTGAAATGACGTGAAATACCACCGGAATGAGGTCACGGCTGCAAACCCTATAAAAGAGGGAGCTAGACCAAGTGCGTGGCTGATCTCTGGTACTGCTTTTACTGTGTGTGACTGACCGTCTGTGGACAAAATAAACTTTTTATTTTACTTTCATTCTGCGCCTCTCTCTGAGGGTCACTTTCCAATTCCTCCTGAAAGAAAACCACAGTTTGGATATCAGACCCTGGCTGCAGCTCCAAGAGGCAAAACCAGGCCCAGCACCACTAACGTGTTCATTGGAGTTGAGGAGAACCCCAGCGCGTCACAGAGATGTCAGGGGCTGGGATGGGGAGCAAGACATACAACTCAGTGTGAGCAGAGGGCCAGCGCAGTGGTGCATGCTGTAATCCCAGCACTTGGGAGGCCGAGGCAGGAGAATCTCTTTGGGTTCGAGGCCAGTCTGAACTACGGGAGGCAGGAGGACCACAAGTTCAAGCCCAGCCTTTGTGACTTAGCTGCTTAGAGCCCTTGTCTCAAAATTTTAAAAATGAAAAAAGGGCTGGCAAGGTTGCCATGAGAAGGCCTAGGTTCAATAGCCAGCACCTCACACACAAATAATAATAATCATTACATAAGTAACGGGAGCACTGGGAACACATGACGAGTTGCTACTGGAACATACCCGGTACCTGGGAAGCACCAACGTTCCCTTACATCACCCAGAAAGCCGGCTCTTCATACCAAACAACACCCCACTGCACACTGCCTGCTACGTAAACAGCGCTGAGTAAATGCTGCAGAACCAACAGGGCAAGGCCCCGCTGACCTGTGCTGCGAAGGGCCTTCCTGTGTACCAGATGGGCTGTTTTCCCTTTCGTCCCAAAGAAGGAAAGTAAATAAATCAGGGAGTACTTAGTGTAACAAGAAAATCAGATTTCTTTGCATTCTGAAGATGCAGACCCCAAATCTGTAAAAAGTTACAAAGCAAGTGCAAGGCTCCCAAGAAGACATACTCCTCTTCCAAACTGCAGCACACATCCTTATGTAAGAACCACAGTTCTGTCCCATCAATAACCTAGCTGTAACTGCTCATCACAACTTATAAAAATACTGCCTTTGAAAGAAACCAGATTTCAGAAATTCAACAGTAAATCTCTAATTAAAAATTCTCGCTGGGTGTGGTGGCTCATGCCTGTAATCCTCGGGAGGCTGAGCCAGAAGGATTGCTGTGAGTTCGAGACCAGCCTGAGCTACATAGTGAGTTCCACATCATTCTCACTACATAATGAGACCCTGTCTCAAACCCCCCCCAAAAGGGGGGGATAAAACCCAAATAAAAATCAAATCACTTATGCTAAGTGTCCACAAAGCTGTTTATCTGGCTTCCCAAGGACTTGGAATTAGAAAGATAATAGCCAAATTCCCCAAACAGGCCAGTTTCTACTGCCATGATAATAAAGGTAATCCTTACATACCCCCCCCCAAAAAAAAAAAAAAAAAAAAAAACCACCTCTTAATTAATTAACTGGCTACATCATCAAGAAACACAAGACTTTCCATCATCAAATAAATTATACCTAATAGTCAATGTGGCCTATATGTTACATAATAATCTTAAAAAGCCAAGCCTGGTGGTGGTGCACACCTGTAATCTCAGCACTAGGGAGGCTGAGGCAGGAGGATTTCCATGATTTCCAGGCCAGCCTGGGCTACACAGTGAGTTTCAAGGTCAGCCTGCACTACAAAGCAAGACCTTGTCTCAAAAAAAACAAACAAAAAAGTAATAATAGTTATAATCTTAAGAAGGACATTGAAAAGACAAAAAATGAATAAAATATATTGGGAGGCTGAGGCAGGAGGATCAGTGTGAGCTCAAGGGCAGCCTGAACTACACAGTGAGACCTTGGCTCAAAACAAACCGACAGACACCCTCCATGAGACATGGTGTCAGCACGCGGGCTGGCAACGTGCTGGGTGAGATCAAGTCGAGTGCTGAGTGCAGACTCACCTCCACCACCCAGGCATCACCCGCAACTTACTGCGACGGGCGTGGGGTCAGCAGGGGGCCCGCAGCTCTCGGGGCCGGGCTCCCGGGCCACCACCAGGTTCAATGGTCCTGGGCTGTGCTGCAGCAGTGCGATGGCCTGCAGGTGGGACACACGCTGGTCCAGGGCCGTGTGGTTGATGGCCAGGATCTGGTCGTTCTCCTTGAGCCGCTGGCCCCTTCGGCAGGGAGAGAAGAGCGTGGGGTTGGATGCGGCCTCACTGGGGTTCGGCAGAGCTGGGCACTGCTGTGCGGTGCGGCTCCTGGGCACAATTGTCCTTGTGGGCCCTCGGCTCCTCTCTTGGCCTGGCCGGCGGTCAGCCAGCCACAGCAGGCACCAACACACAAGAGCACACACACACTGTACAACAAACACACGCACGCACACACTGTACAGCACACACACTCACACTGTACAACACACACGAGCACACGCACACTGTACAACACACACACACACTATACAACACACACACACTGTACAACACACACACTCACACTGTACAACACACACGAGCACACGCACACTGTACAACACACACTCACATTGTACAACACACACGCACACTCACACTGTACAACACACACACACTGTACAACACACACGCACATGCTGTACAACACACACTCACACTGTAAAGCCAACTGCCGAGGCCGTTGCCCAGGTTTCCACAACACTGCCAGAACCCGGGTCCCGAGCTCCTTGCTGGGCTCTGCCAGCTACGCCACTGCCTCGTAGCCTGCAGGCCGCCCCTGGCGGCCTGGCCCTGTCCGTGGAGGCCTGAGCCCTGCACACCCACGGCACCTTCCAAACCTGTGCCACCCTCTTCCCTAGGACCAGTGTCCAACGTCCAGCCCAGCTGAAAGGACTGCACCTAAGGGGAACTAAATGCCTGCTGCACTAGCACGGCCACAGGGTGTCAGGGAGTGCTCGACCTCACGGGGCGTCTGCTGTCCTCCCCGCCGACATGGCCTCCAAGCGGCCAATCTCACAGGGACCTGGTCTTGCTCGTGCACTCTCGGGCAGCCCGGCCGCCTGGCCTGGCCGGAACCTTCACCTAAAACCCACACCCTGGGTCTCTCCTGCCCGCTGCGTGGCCGAGTCCCCATCCCGCCACGGGCCAGGCACGGCACACACCTGTTGCCTGCCACTCACAAGGCTGAGCTGCGGGAGCGCAGGTTCAGGCCCCGCCCGGCACTCACAGGAGGCTGTGTGGGGCTGGAGGAGGGAGGAGGTCCACGCGATCACCCGTCCAGGGCCTCCAGCGAAGGGAGGGGAGCGTGGCAACGGCCTCACGGAGGAAGGGCTCCTTACGGACGCACAGTCCTCATGTGCACAGCTAGAGAGCTGCTCCCCAGACTGCCCGCACCCCCAACTCGACTGTGTCCCCGAAGACAGGCCCGGTTCCGGATGCCCTGGACCAGCAGGGGCGAGCTGACTGCATCTCGGGGCATCTCTGGCCCTGCCCCGCGGGGAGCGCACCCTCCGGCTCTGAACGTGCCTGGTGAGGACCAGAAACCACAGACCCCACCATGCGTCATGCGGAGCTGCTCCCCAGACTGCCCGCACCCCCAACTCGACTGTGTCCCCGAAGACAGGCCCGGTTCCGGATGCCCTGGACCAGCAGGGGCGAGCTGACTGCATCTCGGGGCATCTCTGGCCCTGCCCCGCGGGGAGCGCACCCTCCGGCTCTGAACGTGCCTGGTGAGGACCAGAAACCACAGACCCCACCATGCGTCATGCGCTCGCCACCGGCTGCACCACTGAGCGGCCAAGAGATGGGGAAGGCGCTGACCTTGGGAATCAGATGGGTGTGAGGTGTGCGTTGGGAGATCAAGTAAGACAGTGATGACGAAGACGATGTTTCCGGAATCGTGAGGGGAGCACAGTGCCTACCTGTCCGCCACGCTGCCTGGATGCACCTCCTTCACGAAGACGTCCACCTCTCTGGGCTGCTGGCTCCTCAGGGCCACCACGCTGAAGCCCAGGCCCCCGGCGGGCGGCCGCTCGATGACTATGTACTCGATCTGCCGGCCCTGAGGAGGGGCAGAGGGACAAAAGCTGTCACCAACTTAGCACACTTGGGGAAAACTGCACTCCATGGGGGAGGGAACATAAGGAAAAAGGAATCAGATCCAGGCGTGGTGGTGCACTCATCTTCCCAGCACTCTAGGAAGCCGAGGCAGGAGGATTTCAAGATGTAACCCAGCCCAGGCAACTTAGTGAGTCCCTGTCTCAAAATAAAGAATAAAAAAAAAGAGATAAAGATGTATCTCAGGCACCGAGTTCAATCCCCAATACCAAAAATAAGAAAAAACATCCCAAATGATACTTAACCATCGCACCTTAAGCAGATATGTCATTGCATTTTATTTTGAGGCACAGTCTTGCTAAAGCGTCCAGGCTGTTCTAAACTCGTGACCTCCCTGCCTCAGCCTCCCTAGCAGCTGGGATTACAGGTGATGCCCTGTGACCAGTTCAGATGGTTTTAAGTTTCAAACTCAAATTTCATTTTCAGAGGTATTTATTAGATGGTGAGGTAAATAACACAAAATCAATGCCCCCCCAATTCCATTTTTACTTAGTCTTCAATAGGGCACCGGAGTACAGCGGGGTCACTGTGAGGACCACCCCACTGGGCTCCAAAAGCCACGCGATTCCTGTAACCACCAGGTCCGCTCTGTGCAGCCGTGAGCCAGTCCAGCCCGCTTCCCTTCCCATGGCCCTCCTTTCCCACCACACCGCAGGCCTCCTGTCCTTAGGGCGGAAGCTCCATTCCGGGCTGGAATCCGCCTCAAACCCCTCCCGACACCGACTCTCTTGAGGGACTTTAAGACAAACAATTTCCAGCAGACAGGCTGGAGAGCGGTGTGGGGTCTCCCTCACCTCAGACGGGAGCAGGCGAAGCACATGCACCTCAGGGCCAGGACCACCACTTTTCTCTTTAACCTGGGACAGAGAATCAGAGCTCTTCCAATGGCTGCGCTCACCTGAGCCAGCCGCTCCACGGTGGTGTGGAAGTCTTCGCCCCCAGACTGGGACTGCGGGGTCCAAGCGCTGGGACCGGAGGTGGCTGTGTGGGCATCGGTGGGCCGGGGCGCAGGGCCAGGGGCAGCGGTACGGTCGGTGAACACGAGCAGGCCCTTCCGGGAGAAGTCAAAGTCGGCAGTGCTCACCGGGGGGCTGTGGCCGAGCTGGGGACCAGAAATGAGCAGCGGGAAGGAGACCGGTTGGTCACTGCACACCAGAGGGGCTCAGGGCAGACACACGTGAGGCCGGCACACGGGCACACGCCCACACGTAGTCCATCTACTCGGGAGGCTGAGGCAGGGGGACCAGGAGCTGCAGCCCAGCCTGGGCAGCACAGTTCACCCAGTTCAAAACATTAAAAAATAAAAAGACAGAGAGAAAAAGAGAGACAGACAGACAGCGAGACAGAGACAGCGAGAGAGACAGAGACACAGAAAGAGAGACAGAGAGAAGTAAATAGGAGTGAAAGAAGTTAAGCATGGCCAGTCATGCGCCACCACACTGGGCTACATGTTTTTTGTTTTGCTTTGTTTGAAACGGTCTCGCTGTGCAGCCCAGGCTGGCCTCGAACTCATAGCAATCCTCCTGCCTCAGCCTCCTCAGTGCTGGGCCCAGTTTTAAATAAGCACAGAAACCCTCCAAAGCCTGGCCTATGATGCATCATCCAAACCGGGCAGCTCCCAGCCCCGTCACCCCAGGCGCGAGCCTGTGGACACCATGCTGTTCCTCCTGCCGTGCCGGCCCCGCTAGCACTCACCTGGCTCTTGAGCTGCCGCAGGGACCGCTGCAGCGTGAGGATCTGCGTGAAGAGCGGGCTCTGCAGTGTGTCGCAGAGGGTGGACAGCGTGTCATGCTGCGACGTGTCCCCCTTGTCCTGCAGCTTGGCCTGGAGCCGCTGGAGCCGCCGCAGCACCTGCAGCTCGTCTGGGAGAGCAGCCCTGAGTCTCGCCTGCCACCTGCCGGCCACCACCCGCCCGCCACCAGACCCAGGCCGCGCCTACCTGTGGCGGGGTTTTCGGGCATCGCGGATTTTCTCGGCAGTCACTTGCAAAGAAACCTGAGGAGAAATTTAAAACACGAAGATGAATTTCCACAGTGCGAAAGCGTGGCTGCTCCACAGGAAAGGGAGAGGCAGCCGAGGATACCACGGTCACGGCACCCCACCCGGAGGAGCAGGAGAGGCCCAGGCAGAGCTGGTAACGCAGAGGCAGTTTCCTCCTGCAGCTAAACGAGGGCACAAGCCGGTTTCTTCGGGAGTTAAAAGTACACATACGGTATGAGCAAAACCTCTCGTACTCACAAATACTCACCAAGGGAAAAGGAAATACCAGTCCACGAAAGACCCACGCATGAGGGTTCCTAGCACTTTATTTATAAAAGCCCCAAGAGGCAAGCTGAGGGTGGTGGAGCTCACCCATAATTCCAGCACTCTGGAGGCCGAGGCAGGAAAATCACTGTGAGTTCAAGGCCAGTCTGAACTACACAGCAAGACCTTGTCTCTGAAAATAAAAAAAGAGCGAAAGGAAAGAAAAGATACAGCAGCCTGGTTTCATTCATGTGAAGGTCAGTAGGTGAATCAGCCACAGGGCTCAAAAGGCAGCACGAGCCAGACACAGCGGCGTATTAAATAAAAGCATATACTTTCCTTTTATTTCATTCTTTTTGTCCTTTTGTCTTCTATGTTGCCCAGGTTGGTCTAGAATCCGTAGATGCTAGCGACCCTCCCGCCTCAGCCTGCCCCGCAAATGGGACTAGAGACAGACACTACCATGCTGGCTTTTCTTTCCTCCTTTAATCACAGGCCCAGCGGAGGACTTAGGAGGATAGGACAAGGGTTTTCCTCCCTGACAGCAGGCCGGGGTTTGAGGGAGCCTTGGGAAGAGGAACTGTCCCACGTGTGAGCAGGCCGGGGTTTGCACACCAGCAGTTAGGACTCCACACTCCAAGTGGGCTGTATCACTGTAAGCGCTTTTTACCTTAATAACATGACTGTTTTTGATACCGGGGATCAAACTCAGAAGTTTGTGCTTGTGAGGCAGGCGCGGTACCACTGTGCCAAATCCCTGGCCCAATAACATAAAATTTTTAAAAGGTCCTGGGCTGGAGAAAAATATGTGAAGAAATTGGATTTAGGGGAATTCAACAGTTAAGACACCGGCTCTGCATCCCTGTTCCCGCCTGTCCCCTCCCTAGTCCCCCAGTGGTGCTGAGGGGACACTTCCGCGATCCGCTCAAAGAGGCCAAGCAACAGGCGCCCACAGCTCAAGCGCAGGAGGTCCCTGGGCACCAACCGAAAGGACCTGCACCAGCGACCATCAGGGAAAGCCGGCACTGCACCACCGACCCTCCCTCGGCGGGCGTCGCGGAGCCCTGACTCGTGGCCGCCGCCTGCTCGGTGCGGAACACGGGCCTCTGCAGAGCCAGGTGCAGGCACACACGGGCAACCTCAGCACGTGGGAGGCCGAGGCCGGAGAACGGAGGGTTCGAGGCCAGCCCGCGTCTTTAAAGCAAGGAATGCAAACCAGAGCAGCAAGACGCCATCTCTTACTGCCAGAGGTCAGTGACACTTACTGATCTGTCAAAGATAAACCATCGCCTGTCCTCCACAGAGAGCAGGTGGGCTGTGGACGTCCTCTCTGCGAGGGCAACCAGCGGAGCCTAAGAGCAGATCCACGTAATATACCTCACTGTTTCACCCACAGCTGCTGTCTGAGTAGCTCTCAGAGAAACACTGCGGGCGACGCCCAGATGTAAGACGGGCCTGACATAAAGTCGCAAGCGCCGGAGACCTGGGGAGAGGGTGAACCACTGCTCCGGCCCAAAGGACGGCACACTCCCAGCACACACGCGCGCACACAGGCTGCCCACAGGTGCCACGGGCCTTGGGTCAGAATGCCGGGCCGTCCACAGTGGGTTTTACGAGCGGTCGAGAATGTCGGGGCTCACAGACTGCGCCCGCTTGTGCAACTGGGGAAGCAGAGAACTGGAGACCGGGAGACGGAAGAGGCTTCCGGAAGGGGAAGGTCTTCCACACTCGGCACGCAAAGCCTCTGCACACGCACCAAGCAGACACGGGCAGGGGAGGACCAGGAAGGGTCTCCAGGCGGCCGAGCAGATGCTTATCAGGCGCAGCTGGCTCGGGAGGGGACGTCCCCACCCCAGGGAGGCGACGCACAGCTCTGCAGCCCTGGAGCAGGGGGGAAACCTCCGGGCAGGGTCTCCAAGTGACGCTGGGTTTGCGGATTCAGGAGCCTCTACGGTTCCACCTTGGTTGTTTTCTCCCACTGAACTGACTTTATTACCACCACGGAAACCTTGAAGTTATCAACAAACTATTTCCTATTAAAAAAAAAAAAAAAAAAAAAAAAAAAAAAAAAAAAAAAAAAAAAAAAAAAAAAAAAAAAAAAAAAAAAAAAAAAACCCACGAGGTTGAATTCTACTTCTGTAGACAAATGTGGGAGGGCAGGAAATGTCAGGGAAAGGAGGAGAATTGCCCACCGGAAGCTGCTCGAGCAGTGCAGCGCACACTGTAGATCCCCTGAGTCCGTCAGGAAGAGGCCTGGGAGACTCATGATCTGTGCGGACCCTGCCGCCAGGACCCTCTGCTCCCGCAGCCAGGTTCCAGCCCACACCAGGGCTGCCGAACATCGGAGGCTCCGCAGTGCAGTGCCACAAGTGGTGGAAAATCCAAAGACAGAACTGCAATGAAGATTAGCTCTTTCGCTTCACAGATTTCAGTGCTGTTTGAATTATGATTTAAAGGCACGGCTTGGGGATGGAGTTCAACAGAGGGGCATCTTCCTAGTGTGTGTGAAGTCCCAGGTTTCAGTCCCCAGCACCACAAGAAAATAGATGAACGGATGGGGCACTTGGCTCAGTGGCACCGCACCTGCCTGGCAAGCACAAGGTCCTGGATTCAATTCCCAGTACTGGAAAAATAAAAATAAATAAAAATTGAAGTCCGTAGCCAACACTGATTAATGGAATGCTTGAAAAAAAGCCGATGCAGCGATAGGAACTTAATTTAAACTTCTGGTTGAAAAAAAACTTGCTGAAAAGTTTTATTAACATCTTCAGCTCAAGAATGTAGGCTAATCTGTAGGGCATGGTGGCGCACGCCTGTGATCCCAGCACTCAGGAGGCTGAGGCAGGAGGATCTCCATGAGTTCGAGGCCAGCCTGGGCCGCACAGTGAGATCAGGGCCAGTCAGAAATACACAGCGAGACCCTGCCTCAAAAAACAAGCAAAAGAATTAAGGTAAATTAAAGGCCCCGGCGGCCACAGGACTTCCGTGCCCTGCAGACCGGGGAGGCCGACGGTGAGTTAGGGCCAGCATCTGGCCAGGCAGAGGTGACATCACAGCCCACAGACTTCAGAGCCACCCAGGCCTGGGGCGGGCAGGGGGCCTCCGCAGCTGGTGCTGGGCTCCCCTCCACTCAACACCAGGCCTCTGTGAGGCGCCCAGAGCGGAGGCCACGTGGGACCCCAGTGGACGCCTGCTGAGCCCCCAGGACGAATGAGTAATAGCCAAGTGCAGCATCCCGACTGGTATGGCACTTGATCTCTGCACTCAGGAGGCAGAGGCAGGACAACTGCAAATTCAAGGCCAACCTGGGTTATGTCAGAAACTTTGGGTTTTGTTTGTTTGGGGTTTTGTAAAACAGTCTCCCTGTGTAGCGCAGGCTGGCCTTGAACTCTCAATGACCCTCCTGTCTCAGCCTCCCAAGTGCTAGAATTACAGGCATGCACCACCACACCCAGCTTATACTTTTTTTACTTTGGGGGGGGGTGTCTCGTTAAATTGCTAAATTGCTCAGGCTGGGTTTGAATTTGTGATACTCCTGCCTCAGTGTTCCAGAAGACTAGGATTACAGGCATGCACCAAAACCACCAGCAAGACCTTGTTGAATGAAAAAGAAAGAAAGGAAAGAAAGAGAGAAAGAAAGGCAAGACTATATTCCTAGGTATTCGGGAGGCTGAGGCAGGAGGATTGCCATGAGTTCGAAGCATCACATACCAACTTCAAGGCCAGCCTGAACTATACAGTGAAACCCCACTCTATCCCTGGGGTTTGGGAATCACACACCCCAGAGCCACTTGCCAGGAGGCACTCAGGAAGCCGGAAATCAAAGCTGCTAAGCGGGGTTCGATCCCAACCCCCAAAATAAAGAAACAAGTGGGAGGGTACCAAAGGCATTAAAGCTCCTCTATTCACACCAGAGCATAAAATGGGGCCTTTGAAAATGACCCCAAATCTACACAAAGACCCCCAAGAAGACCCAGCGGTGCTGTGTGGTCTCAGAAGGAAGGGGAGAGGCGCACTTGTGCCGAGCCACCCACCCTTTAGTGGGACTGGCTGGTTGGACCGCTCCCTCCGCACCTTCCGTGTTTTTGTTTCCATTAAAGTTTAACAAGGAGGTGAACTCAGACTGCCTGGCTGTGCAGTGTAAAGACAGCTACTATGCTTGTGAAGCCAAGTGTGCCCTGTAACATCAGCACTGGGGAGGCTGAGGCAGGAGGATGCGCTCCAGGCCAGCCCGGGAGACACAGCAAGAACGGCCTCAAGAGGGAAAAAATGCAGGTGTAAGGACTGGGAAACGTGAGCCTCTTTCTCAGCAACACTAGGCTTTCAAGTGAATTCCCTGTAAGAAAACACGCTGACGTTTTCCCATTTGCAACCCGAAAGGAAACACCAAGTCGATGGCGGCTTTCTCTCAGCAGGGCTGCTGTTGGAGTCCCGCACAGCTCCCCACTCTGGTCACCCGGCTCCCCGAGAAGCTGCAGGCCGTGGCTACTGAGGCCGGTCGGGAGGGCTTCATTTCTCCCGCGCTTGAACAATCACGTTTTTCACGAAAACCGCAAGGCCGGCGGAACCCGTGCACACGGCGTGCCCCCCGGCACCTCCAGCGCCCTACTGATCCCGAAGTGAAAATCCCGGCAGGGCCCGGTTTGTCTCCGCGCAGGGCGAAGTCCACAGCCGGCCGGGACCGGC